TTAGCATTTTAAATTGTTGAAAGAATAATTACAAAATCTAGGAACCTACAACGTAAAATAAATTAAATCTGATAAATTGCTTACCCTTTGTTTTGGAATGGCCACGCTTTCGCCTCTGATAAATTAAAAATATGTTTGTGAATTAATATATTTCTTTTTATAATTTTTTTTTTCTTAGTTCCATTTTTCATTCTATGATTGATCTGAACCAAATGTTTAAGCAACCGCGATATGTGTTCTATTTTTAAATTATAATGGATGTAATTTAGTTACAATTAAAGCACGTGAAAAAATTTAAAAATCACTAAAAACATTATGGCCGTTATAAATAAAAACAAACAGCTCTTCCTCAAAATGAAGTTCTGAACCTGTTTCTGCGTCAATCATTTGAGGAATGACGTAATGTAATATTCGAAGTCTAAAATAGTATATCTATTCCTGATCGTTAACATAAACCGTTTCAGTATATAAATACTTACTTATTTAAGGTAAGAGATAAATGTTTTAATTTTGGTTTGATTCGTAAATCATTCTAAATAAAATTATTATTTAAACATAATATTATATCAATTTTTTTTTCTTTATTATATAAAGAATGTCATAAACTAAACTACACCAACTGATAAAAACATTTGCATATTTTAACAAAAATATTTAAAAACAAAACAAAAGTGAAACATAATGAACTAGTTAAAATATTGTAATACTTTAAATAAGTGAATGTTAGGAGATGAAAATTAATTAGGGCTTCAATAAGCAATAACACTGTTGCCAGATCTAATGCATGTCTTCACCATCTACTTATCATTAAATGTCCCTTTCTAATCCCTAATAGATTACTCGCTTATTAATTTACATTTATTATATCAAACATTTTATATGTGTGTGTGTATATATATATATATATATATATATATATATATATATATATATAATATTTTATTTAATAAATGTTTGATTTGATAAATATAAATTAATAAGCGAGTAAGCTATTAGGTAACAGGAGCTGAACCCATATGTAATTAAATGAACAGCTGTGTAATTACTGCTGATTATAGAGCTAATAGGAGAGCTCCTACTCTCCTAATACTAAAATTTAAAAAAATATGACATACACTAAAAACTTATTTATATAATAGAGAGATATCTATTACTTATTTAAGGCGGAAAATGTTCTTTTTCTTTAAATGTTGTTGTAACACTAAAAATAATTTAAATATCTTTGATATTAAACGTTATTCGGTGAGAGATAATTATTTACAAAAGCTTTATTTTATGAATCTTCGTATACTATGCTAAAAAATAAGTATTCACATCTGATTTATGTAGTATTATTACTAGGAATTTCGAATTAATACTGATATATTAAATATATTATTTCTATTTGACAATAATATACTAATAGTCATATAACATATATATAAAGCCTGTAAAAGTGATTTATATAATGGGATAAAGATAGGGATAGAGGACATACTGTGACACAGCAGGTAGCACCAGTTAGGAGAAAGGTAGAGATAGTGTTGGAGTTACATTCAGTCCACCGTATTTATCTCTTGTAATCCCACCTTCCCCAGCAGGATATCGCATATGTCTGTGTTCTCTGTCATTTACCGAATTATTTTATCTCTTAATCTGCACTCCATCATATAATAAATAAATACGTATATATTTTATTATTTATTTAATTATTCATGATGTTTACAACTGTATTAAAATATAATGTACACAGGAATATAATGACATGAAAACGCTTTTTGAGAAACTACCCACTGCTAGCACTCTAAAAATATTTTTCAACGAGTTCTCTAGGCCATTGTCTTTTTAGATACCTCTCAGGATTATCAGAGATCAAAGAGGAAGCAAGGTTAGAAACGAGAGGATTCGGATGGTTTTGAAGTTTATTATGGAAGGATAGGAATCTGGATTGAGCTAAATCGGAAAAATATGGTGCATTAAGCTCGCTATTGATGATTTTGTTTGTGATAAAGTAAGGAGCATTGAGGATTTTCCAAAGGATTTTGGATTGTAAGGATTGGATACGAGAGGAATTCGATGGTTTAGTGGAGCCCCCACAGCTTAATCCAAGTTCTAAAAAATATAGTTTTTATATTTCTGAAATTCATATCTACAATTCAATAAATAAATTTTTATATTTACAATTTGACAAAACCTATTTTTTTAAAAAAGAAGCTTTTTCTCCATACAAGTATCAAACTCATTTATTATTGCATTTCAATATATTTATAAATTAATTTAAAAATTATTTAATTATTTTTATTTCTGCATAATTTTGGCCTATTTAACTTGAATCTGATTTGGAATTAACCATTTAATCTATGTTTTCTTTAATGTAAAAAGCTTCGAAAATTTTCCTTCTGCCTGTATTATTCTCATTTTATAGAATTTGTACCTTCTCGAAATCAAAATTATGAATATTGCTGAAAATATTTCGCAGCAATGCTGTTTTTTCTATTATTTTTTTCATGTTCATCATATCATTCCAATGCATTCTGTCAGTGATATACTGCTTGATGCATTGATATGCTTATGTAATGTTCTAACCTACAAGTATAAATAAGTATTTAATTGATTGTTTATTTCGATGTCTAAATATTCAGGTCATCAGCTCCCGATTAAATCGATCAATTAAATAATACTACTTTTATTCTGTTTAGGTGGTTGGTACAAATAACATTAATATAAAAGGTAAAAAAATTAAAAAAAAGGATAAAAATAAATTAATAGAATAAAATGAAAAATAAATTGAATTAAATAAAAAATCTGCAAAGGATCATTGCTTATAAATTTGTCATATATGTATTATGAGTCTTTCATTGTCTAGGAACTATATAACTTTAGTAAGGATTTCTTCTTGGTTTCCCAGGGATGCTGATATATTTTGGGGTATTCCGAGATCTTTTAACCTTGCGGTGTAAAAAATGCAATCTTCCCAAAGTTTTCACGTATTTAATTAAAAATTCATTTAAGATTTAAATATTTTGTTACCAATAGTATGGAAGACATTAAATGTGGTAATGTATGATAATTTATTTTTATATTTTCTACTTTACTGCCTTGGGTATAGTGGCGATCTATACCGAGATACAATCGAAGTTTGCTGTACACATCGACTTGAAGGTCGATATATCTCAATCGAAGACAATTATGGCCTTGAGTCGGTGTTATCTCGACATATATTTTCTGTTTGGTTCTTGCTGAGAGAGATCTGGGAGATACATAGAAGTGATGCCTATATCTAGATCTAATATTTCCTATCGAGGTCAACTAACGCTGTAAGCTTTCATATATATCTTTCTTTGTTATATTGAACAAGTCTCTGTTTTTTTCTTTGTTTTTGAGCGCACGCACATACAAAAATGGCGAAAAACAAAACAATTTTTAATTTAGAATATTTAGTAGTTGACCGTTGCATTATAAAGGAAGAAGATGGTCCGGGTTGGCGGTCATAAATAGGCTAAATAGTGGCAAAACTATTATGTTAAAAGCCAACGTTACGACCCGACTTTGTAGGTTTTCTTCAGGGCTAGAACGGACAAGATACAAAAAATATAGAGAATTGTGGAAGTTACATAAAATTTAGAAAAAAAAAAATATAAACAATGTGAATAATCTTATTAAAATTATAAAGAGTAAGTAAATTAAAATATAAACAGAGCAAGCTAAGTAACAAGATCCTAAACTGAAGTAAATAGATGGTAACAATTGTTCAATTGTTTAACAATATATAATATATGCAAATACTTCTACAGATCTACGGGAGAGATTGAAAAAAGGATATAATATGAAATAATAGACATAAAGGAATGTGAAGAAATAAAAGAAAACCAAAATAAATGAATAAGTATATAAAATAAAAAGGAAGACTTACAGGTGTGTTCAGCTACGAGTTTCACTTAGAACTGGAAAATAAGGGTAAGGGTAGGTATAGGGAAATTTTGCTGACCTGAATTTGAAGATATGGATGGATACAAGGAAAAAATACTAATCTATCAAATAATAAATTATAAATATATACATGTATATATAAAATAGAATTAAGAAATTATAGATTTCACTTATCAAATTTTATCGTTCACTTATCAATTTTTTAATTTCACTTATCAATATATGTAATATATTCTGTTTTGTATTATTATGATTCTGAATTTTTTTTTTCTATTATTATTTTGTTTCATCTATTAGGAATAAAATTATTTGTAGTGTAAACATTTACACAGTTGTTTGGTTTCCATAATTATTTAATTTAATTTAATAAACAAGATGTTGTCTTCCTGTATAATTCTTTATTTTTTTTCTCTTTGCGCTACCGGTTTCGGTCGTATATATCATACCTTCATCAGGCTAGGTAAAATAATAAAAGTAACCACAAGGGCATCGAGAAGAAGACTTTTGACAAGTTTCATTATAGCAACACAGGTTTTTCAGCCTCCATCTTGAAAGTAAAGGGAGGATAGTAATGTCGAGGTAGGAGGATCATCCTCGTTGGACCTCTGGCATTGATTTGAATTTTGAAAAAAAAATTCAGTAATCTTTGAGAAAATGCGCAGACGGCGGACAAAAAAATGGTTTTTTTATTCGAATTTCTAGTTCGACGTATTCTGAAACTTAAAAACATCAAATTTTGAGGGAGGGGGTTAAGATTTTGAATATTTTGAACGATTAAAATGGTTCATTATTGAAAATAATAAATAAAAAAATCTTTAGAATCGGTTTAATTTGAAGCTATGTTACAAAAATTGAATTTTTCTCAAATTTATAAAAATGATGGATGCATATCTTTGATATCGGACCATTTAATCGTTTGATATTAGCTTTTTTAAACCGCTCTTGCACACTATTTTTATTTAAATTAAATATCCATCAATTCAATTTTGAAACAATAGGTTACTATACCTGTTCGTTCGAATGTACCTTTGGAAGAGCTATGCAGTTGGCATCGTTATTAGAGTGACCCTCATTGGAGGGAAGTTGGAGAACTAAGTGAGATCCTGTGTAGAGCCCTGAGTGGGGAGTCTAGTACCTGCCGACCTGGCTGACATCCGATCTACAGGAGTCGGTGGAGGTGGATGTGATGGAGGGTGGAGGGTGGAGGATTGAGGGGTCCTAGCATTATATTTTATATATTTATACTGCAATGTTTTAATAATATGTATATTCACTAACGAATCCAGGATTTAATTTTGGGAGGGGGCTACAGCCCGAAAGATTTTTTTTTTATATACATATATTAGGATAATTACTTCGGAAGGAAGAAAGAAACTAACTACCTATAAGGAATGGTATTTAAATGATTCTTTAAGCCCTATGAAGTGTAATTACATGAGCAATAATACTTTTAGAGATTATTTTTTTCATAAAACATGGTTATATTTTACCATTTTGGGGAGGCCCGATAGCCCCCTCCCTCCTCCTTCCAGCCCGCGTTCTAACGCATCAAGCAAATGTGTTTCCGTTTATTCTGTCTTCTTTAATTATTGAATCTTGTTTACGTCTAAACAAGGTTCAATAATTCTAAATTTATATTATGAATTGTCAGTGCTTCACTAAAAACGTTAAAATATATAAATTAAGAACGAAATCCAATTACAAAAAAATTATATCCAAGTCAAGAGGAATACGCTTGTATTTCAATCTAAACACATTGGTAAATTGTTGGCGAAATTGACGTTTCAGAATACTAAACTCCCGCTTATCCGCCCTGGTTAACTGGGAGAGTATGTTAATGCGGAGGGTATAAAATAAAAAATAACTTCAATATTATTTTAACTTATATATTGCGGAAGAATCTAAATTCAACACGCATTAATCAATAAGGTTATGTACATATTAATTCAAGAAGATAACATTTGTTGGCCAATTCAATTTAACGATTTACAAAAATTTCTTCTAACGATTGTGTCAGTTTTTCATCAAATCAATTATTTGTACACCGAACTTCTTAATATATTCTCAGCAGTATTGCAATTTTTTTTTTTTCTTTTGCCGCTACCGCCGGTTAATTCGGAGAGCTGGTTAAGCGGAAGTCTACTGTACTTAAAATGGGGCCGGAGAGCCGAGTATAATAACGCATTTGAAAATTACGACTTGCCCTGCAACCTGATAAACAAAAGTTTAGGAGTTCAAGCACAGGCAGATCTACAGGGGGGGCTTTCGGGTTGACTCCCCTCCCCCAAAAATGGTAAAAAAAAAAATTATCTCTTAAACCACTAGCGGATCCAGGATTTAATTTTGGGGGGGGGGAGCTTCAACCAGAAAGATTTTTTTTTCATATACATATAACGATAATTAATTTGAAAAAATAAAAAAATAACTACCTATATGAAATGGTGTTTAAGTGGTTCTTGAAGTCCTATTAAATGTAATTAAACGAACAAGAATACTTTAAGAGATAGTTTTTAATGTTTTTTCTGTAAAACATGGTTATATTTTACCATTTTGGGGGGGCTTCAGCCCGAAAGTCCCCCCCCCGTAGATCCGCCTGTGTCTTAAACTATTATTGTTCGTGTAATTACCTTTAATATGACTTCAAGAATAACTAAGACGCCATTTGATATGGGTAGTTAGTTTCTTCTTTTTTTTTTCAAATTAATTTTTGTTATATATATGAAAAAAAAATTCCTTCGGGCTGAAGCCTCCCAAAATTAAATCCTGGATCCACTAGTGAGTACAAGGAACTTTTAACTCGTAATAATTCTTCGTTCTCTCTCCTGGCACGGAAAAAAACCGTTTGTCGAAAAGGCAAGAAAGGAAAAAACAAAAAAAATGTGCCTTCTACTTGTGGCCGTGATGTTATTGTAGTCATTCTCCCTTCAACATTCTATATTCTAGTGGCGTTCCTATAATTCACGGAGCGTATTGAAATTTATGTCATTGCAGATCCTCGAAATTCTGAGATATTTTAATTCATATCTTCTATAAAACTTGTTATTGTTTTGTTTTTGACACTATTTCTTCTCTCGAAGAAGGAGTCGTGTTAAGATACAATTTTGAATTTTAGACCATTACGGGCAGGATGAATTGATGAACATTTTTCTTGCCTGCAGTATGCCGATCCAATTTTTAGTTTTTTAGATACTTTAATCCATATGCAGAAATACTTCAGTTAGTCGACTTCAGCCGACTTTATCCGTGCGTTACACATCAGAATCTGTCGGCTCATTCTTACTCGCTCTTCACATAAACAGAGCAAAATGCCCCTAAAGATGTTTTCAATTCAAAAATGGCGGGAAACACTGCATGTTATGTCATACCTACCATAAAACTCGTTTTTTGTTGTTGTTTTTTTGACACTATATCTTCTCTTTTTGCCTCTCTAACGGGGAGTCGAGTAAAAATTCAATTTTGAATAATAGCTCATTACAAAGAAGATCAAATGATGAACATTTCTGTCGCTAAAAATAAGATGATCTGATTTTTATTTTTTGAGATATTTGAATCCATATGCAAAAATATTTTAATTAGTTTACTCCATCCTACTTTACCAGATCGTCAAATATAATATTTTTAATTTATTTTTTTAATTTTAACTCCTTAATAATTATAATCTTTAGCGAGGATCAAATAGGTATCTACTCTACTCTTAGACTATAAAGACCCGAGAGGAAAAAGCTTTGTAGAGCCCCTAGAGACCATAATTTATCAGAGAGGTTAGTGGGTCCTATCGCCAAGACTAAAGCCCCCCCCCCTATATCGCACTACATACTCCTACATATATCGAGGCGCTAAGCCCTGGCAGACCCAACTCCTGAAGGTTTACTGCTTTAGCTCGGCCAACTCCTGGATAAACTGTCTCCAGGGTCGATCCTCTGGAATATGGACGATGTCCCTCGGGAGTTCTGGAGAACTTGGGAGGGACCGCTTCCCATAGTTCCTGCCGGGAATGGGCGTCTTTGTCTGACCTCTGATTGGTCTTCGCTATTCCCAGCTGTAATTACTTATATCAAAATAAAATGATAGCAGGTTTCTGATTTATTACAAATTTAATATAAGTAAAACTAATGTAAACGAGTAAAAATCATCAAAAGACAGAAAGAATACTGCATTATCTCAGTACTCTAAATTATTTAAACATGAATTTGATTTTGATAATATTCCTTTCTTACAGAAAGAATATAGCCCAAAGTACAAGCCCATTTTTATCAAATCATTAACATCCATCCAAAACTTCTTTAGTAGCTTCATCTCATCGTTAACTTCACTATTATAAATGTCCTTGAGACAGATTATAATATTTTTCAAAAAAAAAAAATTATAAAAATTCTCGGAAATGTGGCTTTTCAATCTGGATATTAGTAAAAGTGTAATTTTAATGAAGTACTACTTAAATTATGTATATATAACATTTATATATTGTACTTTGTAATAAAGAAATTCCTGGGGGGTAGGAAACAAAAAAAAAAAATAAAAAAAAAATGAAGTACTAAAACATCGTGAATATTCAATTGCTTTCTATTGAATTGCAAGATAATTTGATCGCAATATCCTGAATAAAGGTGGCCTAAATAAATATTGGGCCATTTGACGTGGCCAACTCCAACATGTCAATATACCAAGGTCATAAAGGCCAAGTATATTTAGACCATCTTTTTTTCTGGATATTGTGATCAAATTATGTCACGATTCCAGTGAAAACTAAATAGATATTTATAATTTTTTATTACCTTATTAAAATATATTTTTTCAATCATAAACATGTAAAATTAATTCAATTACTATCAAATTTATGTATTTCAAGCTTATCATGTGTCATAATCAATTCTGTTCCTTATAATCAAAAGTATGTGTTCAAATGCGTTCTTTCTCTTAATGTGTATTGTAGGCCAGTGTTTTGTTACCGTTTATCTTACCTAATAAACCACAATTTAAAATTCAAGTTACAACTTTCAAATTCAGACCTTACCATAATACTATGATGGGAAAAAAAAATTAAAAAATACTGTACCACTACAACCCATGAAGGGTCTCCGGTTCAGTACTAGTTAGGGAAAGTACTGTTTCTTGGTCAATGGTTGTGCAAGGAGGTGATTTGGCCTAGATCATGCTCAACTGCCAGCTTTTCTCACCTTAATTAATTATATAATTAAGGTTAACCACTTTATAGAGGCTGGATGTGCCCCAGAAGGGTCTACCGTTCTCAGGTTCGCCCCACGGCCAATGAAACAGAATAAATCAATTTTCTGACGGGATTCGAACCTAACCAAACCGTTCTCTACTTCGATAAAATGTAAATAAATAAAAAAACTCGAATCTAAAAATTAATAAACCCATCCTAAATATAAAAATCCTTGGACTAAGGAAATATAGACCGCTGATAGACGAGTAGCTGACAAATACATGTAATACCCATTAAAAGTTTTTTATGAAACTATATTCTTCATATCACGCAGTGTTTCCCACTATTTTTGAAGTGAAAACACCTTTAGGCGCATTTTGCACTGTTTATGTGGAGAGTGAGTTAGATTGAGCCGTCAGATTCTGATGTGTAACACTCGGATAAAGATGGCTGGAGTCGACTAATTGAAATGTTTTTGCATATGGATTAAAATATCTCAAAAACTAAAAATCGTACCTGCATACTATAATCTAGAAAATTGTTCAGAATTTAATCCTCTTTATAATGAGCTATTGATAAAAAAATATCTTAACGCGACGCCTTGTAAGGGAGGCGAAAAGGAAAATGGTGGCTAGGGTACGAAGAACTCTGATGTGGTGGATTTCAGCAACGACGTGTATTTTTGATGTTGTTAATTAATAAATTAAGTAATTTAATGAATTATTGAAGGAAGTTTATGGACTGTTCTTTATATGATGAGTGATAATATTCAAGACATAGTCATTATATAGTTTTTACTGGTGCCTGTTTTTTTCAACCCAAACATCGTCAGGGCCTGTTTCGAGCACTGAAGGTATTCAAGTACTCGAGTATTGCAAATACAATTACAATTAACCATATTTTTCAATAATGTTCTTTCTATATCTCGAATTTAGCTAGTTCCGGACTCATACCCCTAATATCAAACATCCTTAAAAATGACGAAGACAAATTTTTTTTTTTTAATTTTATTTTATTGAGATTTACAACTGTATTACATGGAAAATACAATAAGTAAATGTGGCATTGGTAACATGACATGTACAACATGAAGAGAAACTACCCATTGATAGAACTCAAATTAAAGTTCTATATTAGAAGGTCCCGAGGCTGAATCCTGAATATTTGTATAAAATCTCCCGAGAAGTAAGAAAAGTGGTGTTATATATTTTTCCTGACCTTATGAATGGAAGTGGCAGCTACCTAATCTACACAGATGGGTCTTGGAGAAGTTTTTGGACCTGGGTTTGAGGAGATGGCATCGGATCAGCAGATGCCGCGATGAAATCTACTACTTACATCACCATCATATACCATAATAGCTTCTTTTTTTAAATTTTTATTTATTCGTGATATTTACAACTATATTAATAAATAAAACACATTAAGTAAATTTGATAACAGAAAATAATTACATGAAATCACTTGTTGAGAAACTACCCACTGGTAGCACTCTAAAAACAAAATGTATTTATAATAAGGGATCTCGAGGCCATCTTCTTTTCAGACGCCTCGGAGGATTATCAGGGATCGAGGAGGAAGCAAGGTTTGAAGCAAGAGGATTCGGATGGTTCTGCAGTTTGTTATGGAAGGATAGATATCTGGATTGGGCCACATCGGAAACATTAAGGTCTTTATGGATGATTTTATTTGTGACAAAGTAAGGAGCGTTGAGGATTTTACGAAGGATTTTGGATTGTGAGGATTGGATACGAGAGGAATTCGATGGTTTAGTGGAGCCCCAAAGCTCAATTCCGTAAGTCCAAATAGGTCTTATTATTGTCATATATATGAGTCGTTTGTAATTGATTGAAAGCTTAGAGCGTTTGTCTAGTAAGTGCTGCAGTAGTCGAAAACGTCGGGCGGTTTCAAGTCGTTTCAGTCTGGTATGAGGGTTCCACGAAAACAAATCAAAATTAGTATTGAATTTTATAAAACAACCAAATTTTATAAAAATCGAGTTCAGTGATAAACAACATTAAACACAAGCATTGAGGACCCTGAAGTTTTACGCCTTAAAACCCTAACTAACAATAACAATAACCTGAAAATACGATTCCTTCAGAAGAATCGATTCTTTAATTCAAGTCTCGATTCAGAAGTATATTTTTATTTAAAATTTCAAACACGTCCCACGATATATATAGTTATAATAAACGTTAAACTATTGACGCGGAATAACCCTATGGAGATACCTAAGGAGCAGTGAGGAGCCGCTATCAACGGCCGGCAGTTGGCAGTCGGGACCCCGCTAATTAGCGGCAGTCACGTGCGGCCGGCGGCTGCTCCCGATTGCACCTCCATCTTCGCCGCTTGCATTCTAGATTATCTCATATCGTCTGGATTCCAAGATAGTACGCGTGACACGTGACCGTCATGTTATGTAACGCGTTATTATTGTTCGAATTATATATTTATATGATATGGATATAATTACTTATTTCCATTACTCCAGAAGACCAAAGTGTTAATATTAGGGATATAGATTGAAATTAATATTATTCCCGATTCCTGGGGAATTATCCATCATCCTCTGCATGTTATTTCTATCAGCTAAATAGATGTTCATTATTTCACCTATATTTGTATTCCAGCTGTCAATCCACCTTGACTTAAGCATGTGTGTTGTCATGAGGGATAAACTTTACATAAAAAATATACATCAAAGATATCACACAAATACATAAAAAGGCCAAGAAAAAATATATGAAATTCACAGAATATAATAAGTAATATAAACCTAATAAAATAATCAGTGAATTAAAACATTTGAAAAACCTAATTGATAAAATAAACCAAAACAATTTTACAAATTACAATAAGCTGTATCATATCTTTGTTAATAATCGTCCGATGTCGATGAATATTTTGTATTATATTTATGTTTAACGTATTTAGGATACCAAAAAAACTAGTAAATCTAGTCAGGATGTGCTTGACGGAGACACTCAATAAAGTTAGAATCGGTAATAATTTGTCCGAAAAATTTGAGGTTCGTTCGGGCTTAAAACAGGGGGATTCTCTTTCGCCTGTCCTGTTCAATTTGGCATTAGAACATGCCATTAGGGAGGTAATGCGAACCGAGAAAGGGTTGGATCTGGGCGGGACAACATCCGTGCTGGGCTATGCTGATGATCTGGTACTGTTAAGCGAAGACGTTGAAACTATAAAACTAAATACGACAACGTTAATGAAAGCCGGGAAAGAACTAGGACTCGAAATAAACGTGGATAAAACAAAATATATGGTTAGCTGCAAAAATGGCAATACTACTGGTGATATCGATATAGATGGTAATATGTTTGAACAGGTAGATAAATTTAGGTATCTAGGTTCTACGATAACTAGAAAAAACGAAATTGAAGAAGAGATTAAGGTTAGACTGAAGGCGGGGAATGCTTGTTATTTTTCTGTGACAAAACTACTTAGTTCGCGCCTCTTGTCCCGAAACTTAAAAATTAGAATCTATAAAACAATTATCTTGCCTACAGTCCTTTATGGATGCGAAACTTGGCCGCTTACATTAAGGGATGAGCAGCGTCTTAAGGTTTTTGAAAATAAAGTATTGCGTAGAATATTCGGACCGAAGAAGGATGAGTTAACCGGAGAGTTCAGACGGTTACACAACGCCGAATCGCGTGAGCTGTATCAGGGTAATATAATTGAGGTAATTTCATCGCGGCGAATCAAATGGGCTTGTAAAGTTGTTGGGCTTAGTAACGAGAGAATTCCTAAAAGGTCCGAGGGGTAGACCGAAGCGAAGGTGGGAAGATTGCATTAAAGCCGATCTGAAGGGACTGGGTTTGGACGGCGAACAGTGGAGGGAGGTGTGTAACAAGCGATTGGTGGTGTCGGCATCGAACCTTCGGGTTCGCTAAGCCTTATTATTAGTATTTAGGATACCTTTAAATAATCATGGGTGTAATTGACCATAAAATGAGTTTTATTATTTTAGTTTATTATTGTTTATTAATAATGGACCATTTAATCGTCAAAGAAAAATTCAAGAAATTACCCCCTTTCCCTCTTCAAAATTTGAGGTGAAACACAATTTTTTCTTAATAAAGCTTCACGTAATTAATATGGAATTAAAGCTTATTAAACGATAACGGTTTTCTAAAAGTGGAGATATTCCCATTAAGATAAAAAAAAAAAAAAAATCGCCAGTAATTTCTGATTTTTTTAAAAAGCTAAACTTTTTGATTTGACAAATGTAAATTTTCAATTGTGTAAGATATTAGAAATTAGAAAGGGACATCTAATGATAAGTAGATGGTGAAGACGTGCATTAGATCTGGCAACAGTGTTATTCCTTATTGAAGCTCTAATTAGTTTTCATCTCCTAACATTTACTTATTGTAAATTATTCCAAAATTTTAAATAGTTCTTCACCTTTCATTCTTATCTTTTCTTTTAAATATTCTTGTTAAAATATTCCTAAATATTGTTTATCAGGTGGTTTATTAGTTTATGGCATTCTGTATATAATAAAAAATAATAAATGTAATATATAATATTATTGTTATAAAATAATTTTATTTAGCATGCTTTATAAATTAATCTAAAATTTAAATCATTAATTTCTAACCTAATATAAATATATTTATACGTATATTAAAAATATTTATATACTGAAACAGTACCATTAATATCATAATAATTAATAAATTAATTAACTTTACTTTTGTTAGAAGTAAATTTTCTCTAGCTTACTATGGAACAAAGTTTAATTTCTTAAATCAATTATATATTTTTTTTATCGCTTCCTATATAACAAAATATAATACGGTGCTCGATTAAAAAAACACAAATCTTAAATTCCCTACTTTTCGGCTGGATATTGGGAAATCGTTCATATGAACTTTTAGTATATCTTAAAATCGACTATCAATCTTTTATTTATTTTCTTCTGCCTACAGGCACACTCTGTATATATTTATTTTTTTTGCGTAGAATTTATTATAATAATTATTATAATATAAATAATAATATAATTATTTGAAAATATTTTAACAACCGATAAAATAATTATATCTTTTTATTTTTATTTAGAGGTTCGAGGCAGTGAGATTAACTCTCAATGCTCTGATGCTTCAAATACGCCGCGGGAAATATGATAAAATCTTGACGTAAAAATGGAAAGATGCATACGAGTGAATCATACAATGCTAGGACATGTTGCTACCAATAATTTTTTTGAACATAAACTAAAATTTCAATTAGGATATATGCCCTGCTAAAATACTTGCGTTCCTCCTTCTATGCCTTAGGTTAGTCATCTAATCTACTTTTCCCATTTTTTTAAATTGATTTTAGTTTACATATTTTATTTATTCATTTATCTTTATTGTTATTTATTTTGATCTTATTTTGTCAACTTTTTAAGTGAAAATTTCTTTATGCGCGTTTTACACTTTTTTTTTTGGTAGAGATTGAATTAGATTGAGCCGTCAGATCCCGAAGTATAACACAGACGTAGAGTCCGCTGGGATCGATTAATTGAACTGTTTTTGCATATGAATTAAAATACCTCAGAAACTAAAATTCGGACCTGCATAGTTGTGGGAAATGTTCATCATTTTATCATCTTTGTAATGAACTATTTTTCAAAATTGTATCGTAACGCAACGCCATGTTAGAGAGGCGTACAGAGGAAAAAAATAGTGTCGAAAACCAAACCGTAACGAGTTTTATTGAAGATATGAATTAAAATATCTCAGACACTAAACCTCGAACCTGCATACTGTAAGCGAGAGAAATGTTCAGCATTCCATGCTGTTTGTAATGGGCTATTATTTATAATTTATATTTCATATATTTCAATATGAAATATAAATTATAATCCGGATGATCTGGTCCTGTAGCGAAGACACGGAAACTAACAAACTAACTACGAAAACTCTAATGAAAGCCGCCAATGAATTAGGGCTTGAAATAAAGTCGGATAAGACAAAAAATTAGCTGCAAAAATAGCAATATTGCCGGTGATATCGATATAGAATTCAATATGTTTGAACACGTTGAGAATTTTGGGTATCTAAGGTTAACTAGAAAAAACGAAATTGAAGAAGAGATCAAAGTTAGGCTAAAGGCTGGAAATGCTTGTTATTTTTCACGGAATTTAAAAACTAGAATATATAAAACTATTATCTTATCCACAGTTCTTTATAGATGCGAAACGTGGCCGCTTACATTAAGGGATTAGCAAGGTCTTAAGATTTTTTAAAACAAATTATTGTGTAGAATATTCGGACCGAAGAAGGATGAGCTTATGGGAGATTTCAAACGGTTACACAACGCCGAATTGCGTGAGCTTTTTTCTGTTAATGTAATTTCATCGCTGCGAACCTTATGGGCTTAGTAACGAAAGAATTCCTAAAAGGTTAATAAAGGAGGGAGATGGTCCGGGGTGGCAGTCATAAATAGGCTGGATAGTGGAAACTATTATATTAAAAGCCAACGTTTCGACCCGACTTAACAGGTCTTCTTCAGGGCTAGAACGGACAAGATACAAAAAGAGAATTTTGGATGTTACATAATATTTAGACAAAAAACTATAAACAATGTGAATAAGGTTATTGAAATTATAAAAAGTAACTGCATTAATAATATAAACCCAGTCTCTTCAGATCAGCTTTAACGCAATCTTCCCACCTTCGCTTCGGTCTACCCCTCGGACGATTACCATTTGGAACAGCAAATATTAATTTTTGAGAATATTTAATTGTCGACCGTTGCATTATAAAGCAAGGAGATGGTCCAGGGAGGCGGTCATAAATAGATTAAATAGTGGCAAAACTTTTTTTATGGACAAGATACAAAAATATATAGAGAATTGTGGAAGTTACAGAAGAGATTGTAGATCTGTAGAAGTATATTCACATTTGCATAATATTTAGACAAACAATTATAAACAATGTGAATAAGGTTATTGAAATCATAAACAGTAACTGCATTAATAATATAAACAGAGTAAGCTAAGTAAAAAGATACTAAACTAAAATAAATAGATGGTAACAATTGTTATAGTGTATCTATCTGTAGATCTGTAGAAGTATATTAACATTTGTATATATTATTCAGTACACTATAACAATTGTTACCATCTATTTACTTCAGTTTAGAATCTTGTTAGTTAGCTTACTCTGTTTATATTTTAATGTACTTACTGTTTATAATGTCAATAAGCTTATTCACATTGTTTATAATTCTTTATCTAAATATTATGTAACTTCCACAATTCTCTATATCTTTTTGTATCTTGTCCGTTCTATCTCTGAAGAATACCTGCAAAGATGGGTCGAAACGTTGGTTTTTAATAAAATAGTTTTGCCACTATTTAACCTATTTATGACCGCCACCCCGGACCATCTCCTTCCTTTATAATGCGACGGTCAACTATTAAATATTCTAAAAGGTTAATATTTGTTCTAGCGAATGGCAAACGTCCAAGGGAAAGACGGAAGCGAAGGTGGGAATATTGCGTTAAAGCCGATTTTAAGTCACTTGGTTTTGACGATGTGTCACTTAATTGGGCTTAAATACCCAAATTTAAAATTGTTTCGTCTAATTTTGATTTTATTTATTTTATATAATTAACTGTCTCTAATTGTTAAATAATATAATAATAAGGCTTAGCGAACCCGAAGGTTCGATGCCGACACCACCAATCGCTTGTTACACACCTCCCTCCACCGTTCGCCGTCCAAACCCAATCCTTTCAGATCAGCTTTAATGCAATCTTCCCACCTTCGCTTCGGTCTACCCCTCCGACGCTTACCATTCGGCACAGCAAATATTAATCTTTTAGGAATTCTCTCGTTACTAAGCCCAACAAATTTACAAGCCCATTTGATTCGCCGCGATGAAATTACCTCAATTATATTACCCGGATATAGCTCACGCAATTCGGCGTTGTGTAACCGTCTGAACTCTCCGGTTAACTCATCCTTCTTCGGTCCGAATATTCTACGCAATACTTTATTTTCAAAAACCTTAAGACGCTGCTCATCCCTTAATGTAAGCGGCCAAGTTTCGCATCCATAAAGAACTGTAGGCAAGATAATTATTTTATAGATTCTAATTTTTAAGTTTCGGGACAAGAGGCGCGAACTAAGTAGTTTTGTCACAGAAAAATAACAAGCATTCCCCGCCTTCAGTCTAACTTTAATCTCTTCTTCAATTTCGTTTTTTCTAGTTATCGTAGAACCTAGATACCTAAATTTATCTACCTGTTCAAACATATTACCATCTATATCGATATCACCAGTAGTATCACCTCTAATTGTTAGTAGTCATAAAAAGAAAACTTTACAAAAACTAGGAAGGAATTTATAGGAACATGTTGGGCTTAGTAGCGAAAGAATTCCTGAATGGTTAATATTTGCAGTAAATTTCCGAGGAGTAGACCGAAGCGAAGGTGGGAAGATTGCGTTAAAGCCGATCTGAAGAGACTGGGTTAGGACTATAGACGGTGCAGTGAGGTGCGTAAGAAGCGATAGGTGGTGTCGTCATCGAACCTTCGGGTTCGCTAAGCCTATTATTCTTTCTTATTCTTATTTAATATTTATTATTATTAATATTGATTATAATCAATTTCCTAAATAAAGAGCTATAGGAACTAGGTGCCATACCCACCCCCTCACCTGCCCCCTTCGCCACCCCCGACCGCTCCCCCCCCCCCCCAGGACACTAGCGCTCCACCTCTCCAGTCGTCCGACCGCCTCCGCAAGGGAAGGGTCTATCTCTTCGCTCTTCGGGCTGCTTGCGTCTTCTACAGCAGGTAGCGCTTTTCCAACTGGCTTATCGTTTTCCTCCACAACTCTATTCTCCTACCTCAGCTCCACCCCAAGTTAATTGTTTGATAGTTGTCAATCCAACTGTAGTAGTAGATATCTTAATATATGCATGTCAAATTTAAAATAGTATTTCATATAATTAATAAATTGTTTTATTTAAATAATATAATAATCGTTGAAATATTAGATTGTGTAAATGGACCATAAGTAGAAAGTTGTGTGTCATCATCTAAAAATTATACACCTATAACAATTTTAATAAAACTTTAGGATTCATGAAACCTTATTTGCTTTGAACCATAATTCATTAACATATCATTTATTCATATATATTTAAAATATATTTTGTAATTTTTCATCGTAAAATGATATTTTTTTTTTTTTTACTTTTTACATATATTCTTGTCTATGTTCTGTTATATATCTATTGTTATAATATATCTAATTTATACTTAAATTCGAATCACCGCAGAATAAGTTAGTTATTTATATTGCCCATACGGTTTAACAATGACCTGATGGTCCATGGTACAAACCCCTGTTTATCAAACTATTAACATCCGGCTGAAACTTCATAAATAGCTTCATCTTCATCAAAATTCTTGGGATTGGGGCGTTTTCAGTCAGGAGATCAGCAAACTTAAACTATTTGATTAGCTATTAAAAACTCATTTGATTTCCATTTGTATCGTAAGATAATTTTAGCACAAAATCTTTAAAAAAAAAAAAGGTGGCCTACACAAATATCGAGCCGTTTAGCCTATATAACCTCGTTATTTCGACGATTCGGGAGTATAGGCCACGCCAAACGGCTTAATATTTTTGAAGGCCATATTTTTTTTCTATTTGGTGCTCATCTTATCTTAAGATTCAACTGGAAAGCATTTTGGATATACGGGTTTTTAATACCTAATTATATAGACAAAGTTTGCCGACCTCCAAAAAATTGTCTGTACCACGGACTATGACTTCAAATCAAAAAAATTATATGAGAGTCATATAATTACAATCATTACCGTACAATTATTTTTTTTTACGATTAATTGATGGAGAAACATTGGAAAATTCTTTTATGCGTACATATTTTGCTTATATTATAGTATGACTTCGATTCGATTAACCACGTCTTTCTGATGATTTAACGTATGTGATATTTTTTTTTTTAAATGTTTTTAGTTGTGTTTTAATCTATCATATGAGCGGTAAGGTATGGTTAAAAATTAGATCGCTTATCCGGTGAAATAAAGATTCATCTGTAAAATTTTGAAAAATGTTTCATCACGTTTAATTGACAGAAAGTTTTGTTTGATTAACACGTTAGCTGTGGCTACGGTCCCCTTCATCTATCAGATATAATGATTGTTTACGTTTGTATCTATCTTTACTTCTATCCAACTCCCATTCAATTTTTTTTAAAAATAGCAATTTTAGAGATTTCGTAAAATAGGCCAAATTCGAAACAATCTCGGCCGAAGTCGAGAAGAATATCGAAACGTGTTAAATCGACGTCATATAATATATGAAAAATTCCAATAGATAGAAAAAATTTTCACTGTCACAATCAATTTAAAAAAAAATATTTATTTAATAGTTTTTCTAGGTAATTTAGCTCTCCTATAAAACAAGCACGCAGATCATTATTCGGGACTTTGTCATTTGGACTTAGGAGACCTCAAAACGTGTATTTTCGTTTAAAACAGATATTCCAAAATTTTCACGATCGCAATACTTTCCTTTACTATGCATTTCATATATAGGTAAATGAAAGTAAAAAATAAAATTAATTAATCTTATTCTATTTATAAATACAGGTTACACTTTAGAAATCTTTGAAATATTTGAGGAATGTTGGCTATAGGATTTTGTCATTCTCGGAACAATTATAAACTAATTTTGACTAACTTGCTTACATAAAATGAGGAGCCCCCCCTCTCTCGTTAATTCTCCCGTTTGGTTTCAAAGGTTGGGGGATCAAATTTCTAACAGGTGTTCCTGTAAGCTAATAAGGAAAAATTAAGGCTTTTCTGATTAAGGGCTGGAATTAGTGTAACGCCCTAATCAACAATACTGCTGTAGTTATAATTTTAAGCTTTTTAACATTTAATTTATTTTACTTCTTCATTATACCTCTTTAGTTGGGAAATAAGTCCTTTCGGTTTTTCTGTTTATTTTTTTGTCACTATGATACACACTTATCTGATGAATTAATCCCTCAGGTGGATAATTTATCCTGTTTGTAATATGTCAACAACTATATTTGTTAACTCTTGTTGAAACTAGCTCCTTGAAACTAGTATTATGTTTGATATTGCACTGTGAATATGGAAAAAAATATTTATTATCGTTATATTTTGTTGTATTGTTTTAATAAACGTAAGCTTACTGCAGACGCTCATAGAAAATTTTGCATTGTTTATGGGGATGACACCTTAACTGAATGAACCTGTCAAAATTGGTTTGCCAAATTCATTCAGAAAATTTTGACATCAATGAAGCTCAGCGGTCTGGTCGCCCACGTGAAATTGAAACGATCAATGTTAAGGCCATTGTTGATCAAAATCCCACACAATCAGTGCTAGAGATTGCTATGCCCTAAATGTCTCCCACACAAGCGTAGAAAACCATTTGGCTATGTTTCCAGACTTAATGTTTGGGTACCTCACATGACGTATTTCTCGAAAATTACAAAACATTTTATAACTTTAATACGATTTAAGCTTCCCGCAAGAAATTTATCAGGAATTTAGGGCCACATCAAAAACCGCTTGGATCAGTTTTTTAACAATGAACTTCAGGCATTCTATGGACATGAACATGAAGTGGAAAGATGGGAAAGAATCAGAATAAATAATGGTCAATATAGGGTAGATTAAAATAAATTTTATGTCTTTAATACATAAAATGCTGCAAATTATTTCACAACGGTTTATTATTTCCAAACAATCATACATCCAAAGTAACATTGCCTTCCTAGTGACAAAGAAAAATAAATGAAAGATGATTCCAATTATTTGACTAAACATTTTTTTTTTAATCATTAGTTATATGCTAACAAAATTAGCATTACTTCAGTAAAACATTCAAAATTCAAAAACCAAAACAAAGGATATAACCTTTGCAGTATAAAATATAACAAAAAAAAAAAAAAATGGGGAATTCTGTAAACTTTTAAAGTATGTTATATAGATAAATTTAAAGGCCGTCTAGAAAAAGACTTTAGCGAAGTTTCATTGAAAACGGTGAATTCGGTTAGGTGCTACAGTCTATGGCAACGCAGGTTTTTCGGCCGCCATTTTCATAGTAAAAGGCGGATAGTAATGTCGATGGAAGGGGATCGGGTGACCTTTGATTTTAAATCAAAATTTGAAAAAAAATCAGTCCAGTAGTTTTTGAGAAAATGCGTGGACGGCGGACGGACAAAAATTGTCTACGTATTCTGAAACGTAAAACCTCAAATTTTGAGAGTGAGTTAGGTTTTTGAATTTTTCGTTCGATCACAATGGTTCATTATTGAAAATAATAAACCAAAAATCTACTCGAATTTTAAGTAATTCTCCCATCTAATTTTCGGTATACATATAAGATTCTAGAATTTTAATAATATTTACACGATGCTTCTCCTTTCTTTTGTCAGAATATTATTATTAAATTTGTAATTAATCGATTTAAATTTGTTATTAAATATGATACAGTTATTAAATATGTAGCACCATCTATGATTTTCTTACATGAAGTTTTATGTTAAAATTTAAGCCGTTAACCGTAGAAAATTTCTTATAAATAATTTTATTAAATACTTCCTTAAAAGTTTATCTCTCATAGCCAAATTATTATAAATATAAAATGTGACCAAGAAGTACTGGGCGTAATTTAAATTGTGTTTACTTATTAATCCCCTTACTGGAATTATTTTTCAATTAACTAATCATTTATTGGTTTCATAAACCAGTTTTCAATTCGGAACAAATACTGAAAAGGAAACAAAGACCAAAGGTTTGAAATGTTGAAAAAAGTTGATATCAGAAGAGATATTAAAGTACACGGCCTGTTGACAGTTTTTACAGAATACTGGATCTCAAAGGGCGTACAGTTGTGAAGGCGGTTCATATCGACTTGTGCCTCTCATATCGATATGAATAGCGTCGCATCGATTTATCCTGGCGAAGTAAATCCTCTTTCTGCGTTGAAAATAAAATACAGCATGGCATGTATTGAAAAAAGAAATTCGAAGAACGATAAATGAAAACCAATGAACCAAGAAAGAATAACTAAAATATATGAATATGGAAAATGTACCTGTAAGCATTCCTCCTTTTTAATGTCATGTATTTTATAACAAAATAAGAAAGAATAAATACATAAATTATTTTGTCAGCTATAAATTATCAGTCTTCAGTATTCAGGATGTTTTCCTAGGGTGTTACCTTCTGTCAAATAGGAATACTTTTACGAAACTCAAGGAAAAAGGGATTCCTTTCAGCCAATTTTATTACAGAAACGCTTCTTTATTTTTTATTTATTTATTGAATAGTATAATATTATAAGGTTCCATGAACGATGATTAGAGTGAGGTAAGATAATATTCACTGACGATATTGCTGGTCATATCGATTACAAGGTAATATGTTTGAACAGATAGAGAAGTTTAGGTATCTAGGGTCTACGATAACTAGAAAAAAGGAAACTGAAGAGGAGATTAAGGTTAGACTGAAGGCGGGAAATGCTTGTTATTTTTCTGTGACAAAAACTACTTAGCTCGCGCCTCTTGTCTCGGAACTTAAAAATTACAATATAAAACCATTATCCTATCTACAGTTCTTTATGGATGCGAAACATAGTCGCTTACATTAAGGCATGAGCAACCTCTTAAGGTTTCTGAAAATAAAGTATTGCGTAGAATATTTGGAACGATGAAAGAGGAGATAACCGGAGAGTTCAGACGGTTCAACGCCGAGTTTCATGAACTGTATCCAGTTAATATAATTGAGGTAATTTCATCGCGGCGAATCAAATGGGCTTGTAAAATTGTTGGGCTTAATAGCAAAATAATTCCTAAAAGGTTAATAAAGGAAGGAGATGGTCCGGGGTGGCGGTCATAAACAGGCTAAATAGTGGCAAAACGATTTTATTAAAAGCCAATGTTTCGATCCGACTTTTCTGATCTTCTTCAGGGCTAGAACGGACAAGATACAAAAAGATATAGAGAATTGTGGAAGTTACGTAATTCAATATAAGTTCAATGGAAGTTACATATTTACATTTGCATATATTATATATTACACTACAACAATTGTTGCCATCTATTTACTTCAGTTTAGGATCTTGTTACTTAGCTTAATCTAGCTCTGTTTATATTTTAATGCACTTCTGTTTATAATTTCAATAAGCTTATTCATATTGTTTATAATTTTTCGTCTAAAGATTATGTAACTTCCACAATTCTCTATGTGTTTTTGTATCTTGTCCGTTATAGCCCTGAAGGAGCCTGCAAAGATGGGTCGGAACGTTGGCTTTTGATAAAATAGTTTTGCTACTATTTAGCATACTTATGACCGCCGCCCCGGACCATCTCCTTCCTTTATAATGCAACGATACAATAATCAACTATTAAATATTCTAAAAGGTTAATATTTGCTGTAACGAACGGTAAACGTCCGAGGGGTAGACCGAAGCGAAGGTGGGAAGATTGGGTTAAAGTCGATCTGAAGGGACTGGGTTTGGACGGCGAACGGTGGAGGGATCTGTGTAATAAGCTTGTTGTAATGCTACTGTTGTCGGTATGCCTTTTATTGTTTATTTACTGCACTGGAACTGGATGAGTATTGAGCTAAGATATTAGGGTGGTTGATTAGGTCCAGGTAAAAATTTTAGAATTGAGATAGAATAACGTCTAGGACATAAGGTATGTAAAGTTCATTATGTAAGGCTTTGTTAATAACATAATAAGGAGCATTGACTATTATACGGAGGACTTTAGACAGGTAGGATTGGATGCGTTTGATGTTACAAAATTTAGTTGTTCCCCACAGTTCAAGTCTGTAGGACCAGATGGGTTTCAATATAATCTTGTATATTAATAGTTTGTTTTCAATTGAGAGGTTAGATTTTCTGTTATATAGTCTGTATAACTCTCCAAATCGGTTAAGTTCTTTTATTTTAAGTCTGGTATGTGTGTTACATGTTTCTCTTTACTAAGTATATAGAGTTACATTACATTAGGGTGAAAACCCTATTTATTTACTTATTTCTGTTGTCGATTATTTATTTATTTCAACAGTTTTAGTTGAAACAAACCGCAGACGTTGATTACCTTAGGGTTTTAAATATCTAAGCAGGAAAAAAACTAAACTAACATTTGCATATTTGATAATGTTTGATTATGTGCCACTGATTCATAGCATTGTGAATTAGTCTTGGGGGTTGAAATATATATATATATATATATATATATATATATATATATATATATATATATATATATATATAAAATATTTGGATTTTTATACTCTTTCCTGAGTGTTTGGTGCAATTTTTTTTTTTATTTTGTTGATAAAATTGTTCTGTAAAAAACTTGAGAATCTCGGGCATTTTTTCCCGCGGGCCTCCTTCATTTCCACCCACTCGAAATTTATCGCGAGTGGTTCGCTGATTCTCCGCCTTTATTAATTCTCTCCTGCCTCTTCTTCTTCAAGAGGAGTCAATTCATTTTTCATTTTCCTTCTGCGGGGGGCCCTATTTGAACTCTCTCCGCGCCACCCCCCCACTCCGAGATAATAAAATTTCCTAGGTATAGGAAGCTTTGCCAGGCAGTTAATGTAAATTGAATTTTTAATTAAATTTCGGCCTCGGCGTTTTCTATTAGCATCGAAGAAAGAAAAAGCAGCTTTTCAATTTAGTTGTTTTATTCTGTTCTATTTAATATTTGTCTGATAATTGGTTGGAAGAACAGCGTTTATTATTATTATTTTTTTTTTTTTGTAGGCTCTTGGACATAATAGAAATCAATTTCGTTATTTATTTATAAAGTCAAGAAAAGAATATTTATGTTTAAAAATATTTTTTTGTATCTGGAAATAGGTTTGCTTCGCATACTGATGACTTGTCGCTGTTATTTGAAAATATGGAAGCTATTAAACGAAATACTAAAATAAAAACCACTAAAAAAACTATTTGAGATGTATTGTTAATTTTCAGTATCTTTATTTTAATTGTTGAATGGACTTTTCATAAATAGTTATGAAATTAACTTTTGAAAACGGTGAGGATAAGATAAAGATGTGAGTAGATATTTTATTTATTAAGTTGATGTGAATTTTATAGATTGTTATCGTATGTGCTGCAACATATTTTTCATACATATTTGTGTTTAATGTATTGTAATATTTTAAATAAAAATTTCAACTTGAAAATGGGCAAAGTTGGCCTGAATTTTTTTTTTTGTACCCCAAGGCGGCCCCTTGTCGTCGTCGCTCTTCAACCTGGCCATTGACCATCTCTATCGCGACCTGTGCGATGAAGAATTTTCCAAAAAATTTGGATACAAGTTAAAAAGTGACCAAGGTTGTGTGGTCCTCACAGGTTTCGCGGATGACCAGGCCGTGTCAGCGCGTGACAAGGGGGCTGCAGAAAGAGTGATCGGCAGCGTTCAGAGGACCTTTGAGGGAATTGGTTTGGCTATTAATCCTCAAAAAAGCGTGGGCATCGTTCTAAATAAAGGAAAGCTGGAAACCGCGATGCTCTCCCTTGAGAACGGAGAGTACATCCAAACAATGCAGAATGGAGATACAATCAAGTATTTAGGATGTGCATTCTCGGGAGAGCTACAGTTCAACGAAGATTCGGTGACCAAACTGAACGAAAACCTGAATAAACTGGTAACCTCTCCCTTGCTGAAGCCGGAGCAGAAGCTAAACATTGTCAACCAATATCTGTTCCCGGGTCTTACTTACCCTCTCCAAACTGCGCCCCTCACAAAGCTGCGTCCTGCCGTACTTGACGGCATCGACACCATGATTCGTAGGAGTGTGAAGGCTATTGTTGGACTCCCTGCGAACACCTCCACGGCGATGTTATACGCTCCCAGGAGGTATCGAGGATTAGGATTAATCCGCTGCCAATGGGAGGCTCCTCTACAACATTGGTCCATTGCTCAGCGACTGTCCAATGTGCCCGATGCCCTTTTTCAGTCGATCTTTGATTATTCGGCTGAGGTTGATGAATGTGCCGGGAGATTGGGGGTTGATCGGGGTATTCGGAATATGAGAGCTCTACGGCAGTCGCTTCGAGAAAATTCGTTTGAGGAATGGACCAATTGCAGGTGGCAGGGCATTGGAGTTCGCCATTTTAAAGAGACCCCGAAAGCCAATAAATACATGTACGATAAGCAAGTACTTTCTGGGTCTGAATGGTCAAATGCCCTGAAACTAAATATTAATTATGCTCCCCTGCGTGGAGTCCCAGGTGTCAGCGGACAGGTAAGAGAAGTTGGGTCCCTCTGTCGCAAATGCGACAGAGAGCCAGAAACACCAGCACATGTGCTTGGAAAATGCCCCAACAACTCCCTCCTTATAACACGCCGTCACCACAGAGTCAAGCATGAACTGATGAGGCTCCTTGAAGAGAGAGAATACGCCTGTTTCGAGGAAGTATATTGTATAGATACGGATGGATCCACCCGATATGCCGACATTGTAGCATTCCCTAAGACGGGAAAGTCGGCGATGATTTTGGATCCGACCGTGAGATATGAGACCAACGACCTCGATCAGGCAGAAAAAGTGGAAAGGGAGAAAAAACATACATATGAGAAATGCATCCCTTTCCTTAGTGAAAAGTTCCACGAGAGTTTCGGGCCGAGAGAGTTCCACGTGAGAGGCCTTTGGTTCGGAGCTCGCGGAACGATACCAGACTCAACAAGGAGCTTCATGGAGGGCCTTGGTGTCGACATAAAGGACGTGGCAAGGTTGGCGGAGAATATAATCCTCGACTCCCTGGGAATCATCCACCACCATGTGCATGGGAGCGGATAGGGGGAGAGTTTGCTCGCGGGGGGAGGCATGCGTGTGTTACAGCATTTTTATATTATTATTTATTGAACACGTCCACTGTACTTAATGTATTTTTTTTTATGTATTAGGTTAGAAATAGAGAGGAGAGAATGTGAGGAGTGGGAACATGTATAGGGGGAGAGAAGGAAGAGAAAGGGTACAGAATGATAATAAATCAATGAAAGAAATAGTAAAAATTATAAAATAAAAAAAAGGAGAAAAAAAAATGAAAAAAAAAAATAATAATAATATATATATATATATATATATATACGTATAAAATATTGTATACTATGCTCATACATATTGTTGTTCCTGTATAATTGTATAATAATTTTAAATAATGTCTGTAGTGATTAATAAGTATGCTGTGTTGTTAGCAACCCAATATAATTGGGCAGCACCATTTTATTCTATTTTATGATAATAAAGTGATTCTCTCTCTACAACAATCTGTCTCTTGGACATTAGTTATTGAGGTAGGATAACATTCACACTATATGTACAAAAAGTATAAAATAAATAAAAGCAAAATAACAATAAATAATAATCAACAAGTATATACAATAAATAAAACAACCTAAAATAAGAAATATTTTATATAATAATACAATAAAAAAATTAAAACTATGCAAAAAAACACATGCATACCTATATACACTATTTACAATCAGGTGAGAGAACTCCAGGAGAACCCTGCGCTACTCTCTCAACAGTATCACTGGTACTAAAGCCAGCGGAGATTGATCGAGAGCACTTTAGCCACATACACTCATGTCTTGAGTGAAGGATCTGGCCATTGCCAGAACTCCAATATATACAATCTACAAAAGGTCGCGAGGCCACTGCCGTTTCAACCTTCTCGGAGCATTATAGGGATGGGTGGTGCTTGATGGGGATTGTGCAAGAATATTTGGATTATAAGTAAGGTTCGGGTGAAATTTGGAGAATTTTTCTGAGACAAGGTGTAGGACAAATGGGATATTGAGGTCATGATGTTGGGTATTGTTAGTTACATAGAAAGGATCATCGACTATTGTTCGAAGGACTTTTGACTGGAAGAATTTTATGCGTTTGATGAGTCCAAATAGGTTTCAGTATTGTATAAATAAATAAAAATGAATTGAGCATTGTGAGGAGGTGGAAGGGTTTAATGATGTTATTTTCTTAAAATAATTAATTCTATTGATTAATTAAAAATACCGTTGGAAAATTTGAAGATTTCATTAAAAACTATTTAATTTTAGTTTTCTTATCCTTAATTTTATTTTTGAATTATTACAATATATGCATATATATCTTTTTTATTTATCTAATTTTATATTTTACATATTTTAAAATATTTCTGACTTAATTTTTTTATAAGGACCTGTTTTTCTTCCTCATTCTTAACTTATCCGTCTCATTTTCCCTTTTGTTTATATTCCTTTCCGATTCGACTTGTGAAAATTATCGCCTCCTGTTCCCTGATGACCGCGGGTGAACTCTTACCTTAATTTTTCTCCATTAGCCGCGGGACCTGAACTAGAGTTTTATGATTTGCTCCTCAATCTGCATTCATTATGTAAATCGACCTTCCCCTGGGGTAAATGGGGAAAACTCCTGCTTTGTGTCCGCCGGGAGTTTGTGCCTGACTAAACGATTAACCTTATTTTTTTTCCTCTAATGATTAATTAATGTAAGTTATTTAAAATTAAAATGTTTATATAAAATTAAAAAGGAAGATTAAATAAAACATGCAATTTACTAGCTCTGCCATGGGAATGATTAGGATGGTATTTTGACGAGTTACCGAATGATAAATATGGAAATAGGTAAATGGAAGACAATTTTTAGGAAGCAGTTTAATTTTACATTTTTTTTCCCTATCCCCCAGGAATTTATTTACTATACAAAATACGACATGTAAATGCATAAAGAAATAATTATACGAAAATTTTTTATTTCCTTTTATTGCCCAAGAGCATTTTAAATAAATAAATAAATAAAAAGGCTTAACGAACCCGAAGGTTCGATGCCGACACCACCAATCGCTTATTGCACACCTCCCTCCACCGTTCGCCGTCCAAACCCAGTCCCTTCAGATCGGCTTTAATGCAATCTTCCCACCTTCGCTTCGGTCTACCATTCGGCACAGCAAATATTAACCTTTTATGAATTCTCTCGTTACTAAGCCCAACAACTTTACAAGCCCATTTGATTCGCCGCGATGAAATTATCTCAATTATATTACTCGGATACAGTTCACGCAATTCGGCGTTGTGTAACCGTCTGAACTCTCCGGTTAACTCATCCTTCTTCGGTCCGAATATTCTACGCAATACTTTATTTTCAAAAACCTTAAGACGCTGCTCATCCCTTAATGTAAGCGGCCAAGTTTCGCATCCATAAAGAACTGTAGGCAAGATAATTGTTTTATAGAATCTAACTTTTAAGGTTCGGGACAAGAGGCGAGAACTAAGTAGTTTTGTCACAGAGAAATAACAAGCATTTCCCGCCTTCAGTCTAACCTTAATTTCTTCTTCAATTTCGTTTTTTCTAGTTATCGTAGAACCTAGATACCTAAACTTATCTACCTGTTCAAACATATTACCATCTATATCGATATCACCAGTAGTATCTCCATTTTTGCAGCCAACCATATATTTTGTTTTATCCACGTTTATTTCGAGTCCCAGTTCTTTACCGGCTTTCATTAACGTTGTCGTATTTTAAGAGTATTTTAAGATAATTTATTTATTTATTTTTTAAATAATAATTTTACAATCGAATATAAGAGGTGTGGGTGAGGAGAGCATTGCCAATGACCCTAGTGGGTAGAGGCAAATAAATAAATAAATTATTATGTAATAGAAAATAACGCATGATACAACGAACAAAGACAATATTAGCAATAGAAAGGCTTAAATTATGTTTGGGCTGGTATAAAGCTGGATAACTTGAACCATTTTTATCAAATTATTAACATCCGGCTGACACTTCGTAAATAGCTTCATCTCATCGTAATCTACATTTTTTTTATCTAACAAAATTCTCAGAAATAACCCATTTTCTCATTAAATTAATTAATATCACGAGATACTAAAAACTTTGCGTACTCATTTTCTTTCCACTTAAATCGTCAAATTATTTTATTAAAAAATTAGAAAAAAAAGAGATGGCCTACAAAATTATTGGGCCGTTTGGCCTATATAACCTAGTTTTGTGACATGTAGAAGGTGGAGGTCACGTCTAACAAAAAGGTTGTGGGTCCTCTGCCGCTTCAAACTTCCAAGGAGTATTGTCGGAATCGTATGGCTAGCTAGGGATTGTGCAAGGGGATTTTGATGATACGTAAGTTTATGATGAAATTTGGAGAATATTTGTGGGATGAGGTCTAGGACAAATATGATGTTAAGATCATGAAATGAAAATATATTTTATTATTCTGGGACTGTTGTTCCTTTAGAACAAATTATTAGAGCTAAATTCATGTGAAAATGGTCAAATAGAGTAGCTGTTTACAATATGGTTATTTAAAAGCAAAAATACAGACGGAATGAGAGAAAAGACATAAAAAGCGTAAATATACATACATAATAATCATACGTAAAGCGTAAACTACAGTAACATAAATATTTTCTTTGGGGTACTTAGATAGCTCTTTTAGGTTGGTGTTTAAAGAGGAGGGTTTTGAAAGAGGAAAATGATTGCGTGTGACGAATATCAGCAGGGATGGAATTCCAGAGTGAGGCGGCTTGAATTGCAAATGATTTGTCGTAGGCAGCAGTTCGGTGAGGAGGTGGATAGAGGTCGGAAGTGCAAGATCTAATAGGACAGGATTGGATGGGATATTTAAATTGTAAGCTATAGAAAATATAGGAGGGTCGATGAGTTCTAATGATCTGTTACAGAAAGGTGGCTAGGAAGTACTGACGGCGATATGATGGGTAGAGCCACTTCAACTTGGTGTAATACTGGGTAATATGCGTATCTCTTGAGATTCCGAAAACAAAACGTAATGCGCATCATGGTGTAGGGTTTTCGTTGTTTCATTTAACGAAGTATCAAATATTGTTCAAAGGACTTTCGACTGAAATGATTGAATACGTTTGATTTTTAAAAAATGTTTCTATCCTCCATAGTTCAAGTCCGTAAGTCCAAATAAGTTTCAGGATTTTCTTGTCGATCAGTTATTTATTGTCTTTTGAAATTTAAGATTATTTTCCGATGTTTACTTACATCGAAAAATATAAATGTAAAAATGGAATTATTTTCTCTAACCGTTAACGTAATAATATTTTTTAGCAACACGTTTTTCTGTTTTGATCATTTCATAAAATTGAACAAATAAATACAACATATAATAACTTGATTTAGGTTATATATTATGTAATAATATTTCAATATTACATAGCTATAAAACATGTGTATTTTATATATATATATATATATATATATATATATATATATATATATATATATATCTGAACCTTGGAAACTAAGTTAAATTGTTGCCATTATAGGATATGAAGTTGAGCTGCTCACTAAATCCATTGTACAATAAGCGAGTCCTCTGACAGTTCGGAGCGAGTATCGGTTGGATTTATGTCCCGAGGTTAATGTTTGTCTTCGGATTCCTCTGGCTTCCTCGTATTTCTCTTTAAGTGGTTTCTCCGGATATTTTTGAACTATTACCTCGTAAATTTTCTCTTAATCTTGAACAAAATAGAGCGTTCACAACTATTAGCTTCCCAGATGTTAGGTCTAGCCACAGTTTGTCAAGGGGTAGTTGGTCATTATTATGTTTTTTTTTAACTGTTGTTCAGAAAATATGGCTAAATTTCATAGAATCTCTTTTTTTTCGGCTTTAAACACTTATTTACACTTGTAAAGTTTATATTGGCAATGAGCTAATGTG